ACACACACACATACTTTTTCCTGGTCTCATTCGATTCAGAATGGCTTGAAACGCCGAGAAAACATAAAATTAGCGAATCGGATTTCGGGAAGTTAATAAAGTATTCGCGGTCTTATAATTTTTATCCATTTATATTTGGAACGTCTCATATATATGATGCTTGGCAATATCATATTACTATTTCAATATTGAAATTGCACTACATATAATATATAAAATTTCAGTTGTTCTCGAATTTCAATAACAATAATGTGATAAACTTTGAATGACTTGGGATCGCTTCCCAATATATTAACAAACCATCACATTCATTTACATTTGATAATAAGAAAATTCGATTAGAATTAATGTGCAAATTGAAGAAAGTTTAAGAAGTTTAAGCACGATCTGAGATGTCATCATTCGCACAGTTACGGGTTATTTTACTATGTTTACAGTTATAAATTATGTTAAAATAGGAATTTGAACATTTACGAGTTTAGATTACGAACTGGTTTACATCCGAGAATCGTAAAATAAACATCAAAAACGAAGATTATCATATTAGAAAAGATTTAGTGGAGATTAAATCACTTGTAATTGTTTTGAGATGCGCTTAATAAGCGATTTACATTCGAAAAATGTAGAAATTTAATTTTTGTGGCATTTAAAGTAGATTCATGTTCTTATAATATTTTTTTAAGTTTATAGATATCGAAATCTAATAAACTGGTCTCTGCCAATAAAACAAACAATATATAATTACTCTGGCGTCTGAATGTCTGAATGGAAAAGTCAGACATGAGGTATGCGATAACTGTAAATTACACAATTATACATACACTCAATTAATTAATATTGATTAAAACTTAGTTAATTAATTGTTAATAATTAGATAAAAGTCTAAATGATGATTGATTGATCTATCGATCGTTTTTTCTTTAGCATCGAGAAGTTTTTCATAAAATTCAAATAAACTTTTCTTTTGACTTAACATTTTACTTTACGAGTCGACAATTTTATATGGAAATACAAATATTGAAAAATATGAATAGATAATTTTTTGGTACTATCAGCTGGTTGATTAAAACATGGTTATTAATTCTATTAATTAGAGTAAAATCCTATACAAATGATACTACTGGACTCTAGTTTGTTTTTTAAAAGTTCTTGACATTTTTAAACGATCAGACAAAAATATATGAGACACAATTTATTAAATAAATATTGTGTTAACAACTTTTATAATATTCTTCCACATTGAATTGTTTATTAGAAATTGTAGAGAAATAGAGTTAAGTAGAATTAAAAAAATATTGAATTTGAATAAAATTAGAAGTAAAAAAAGAAAACAAGATTAAAATTCAAGAAAAAAAAAGAAGAAAGAAAAATCAGTAGAAGAACATTAGGATAGAATAGGATATAAATAAAAATAGAAAGTATAGAATATATATGCAAGATAGTGTGAACATATAAAAGATGATAGAGAATATAAAGAAAAAAATGTTGTAGGTGGCTAATGCTCTAAGTAAAATATTTCTTCAGAATAGAAACGACAATTTATTTGATAGTTACTGAATATTGCAATGAACACAAAGCTTTTTAGAATAAAATGAGTAGCACTGAAACATGTGAAAAATGCAACAAAGAAGAAAATGCTTTAACTCTGTTGTGGTAAAAAATATTTGGAATTGGATGAAAAAAATTTAAAATCCAAAAAATGGGTGTAACTGCAGATGATGATAAGCTTATCAAAACAGATATACAAAATAAATCAAAAAAAATTATTATGTAATTTTAAAAATTATGTGAATTTGGCTGCTATCTGGAATTAGGTTTTAAGGAAATAACACATTGAGAGGAATTTAAGAGAAATAAGAAGAATAGTTTATAAAAATCCTTATGTACAAAATATTGTAAAATAGATGTAAAATTTGATTTATTTAAAATAAAAAAAAGTAAGCGAGGCCAATAAAATTTAAAAATATATATATATACATATATATATATATATATATATAATATATTATATAATATTATTCCACGAAAATAATTTAGCAAAATCAAAATGAAAACAATAACTATAGATCGGTATTTATGTATGCATGTGCTCATTTAATTGATTTAGTGAAATATTTTATAGAAACTAGTTAAAACCCATTTAATTTATAATTTCTACTGTTTTTTTTTATAGTTTTGCTAAAAATCGGTAAAAACTGTGTAAGCAAAAATGTAAGTTAGTATATTTGGTAATGAATAGTTAACTAACAATAAATAACTATTGGAGTTGCAAAATTTTAAAATTATATTATTTCATAGAAGATCGTCAATTGAATATAATAACAAATTTTTATTTCATCTGGATTAATATCTACAAATTTAATTTATCATACCTCACATAAATATTTGTAATTATAAAACCTGCTGGTATTTTTCAGACAAAATTTAAAACATTTTTAAAATAATTGTATTTTGTCTTTAAATGACTTATAAATATACAATTTACTTTTCACTTTTTCAGTTTGCAATGCACCATGTTTATTTTATTTACTTCAATAAGATCTATTATAAAATCCAATATGTCTTGACAAAGTAGGTGAAAGTAAACTTCGCTTAAGTTAAGTAATACTAACGAATGATTTCTAATATAAATATATATATATATATATATAGATATTTTATAATTCCTAGACAATCATAAGTGTACATGTACAGATATCAGCTTTGTAAAAGGCGTTATGCAACTCTTAAAATTATATAATGCATGCAAGGCTTGATATTCTATGCCAGGGAAAGTCAACTTGCAAAAATTTGCATTTGAATTTTAATAAATTCGATTTTATCTGCATCAAGTAGAACACTAGACCTAAAAAATAATTCTCTCCATCGAGTGAACACAAAGAAAATATTTTTTCTTTTACTCTAACTTTTTTCCCTCTTTTATGTAACAGTAGCTTATAAGATTTAATTGTATCTTGGTTGCTATTATGAGGAAATAAAAAAAATCTGTATCAAGACTTGAATAAAATTGTTATTAGAATTTAAAAAATTATATATGTTTCTAATTTATTGACTTATTTGAGTATATTCGATAATTACCACATAATGAGTGTTTTATCTTGATCTTATGTTGAAAGGTAGAGATAAAATGATAAAAAATGATAATGTTCAATGATCATAAATTTTGAAAGTTGACCAGTGAGTAGTCTACAAAACAATCTCTACATTTTAAAGTAAAATAATTTTTTTTTCGAAAGAATTATAATCTAACTACATAGTCATAAAATTGATAATAAAATAATGATAATGTTCAATAATCATAAATTTTGAAAGTTGACCAGTAAGTAGTCTACAAAACAATCTCTACATTTTAAAGTAAAATAATTTTTTTTCGAAAGAATTACGAATAATCTAACTACATAGTCAAAAAATTGCACCATTAAAGAATATTTTTAATGCAACAATTTGGTGTATTTTGGTAGCATTTTGGACTTTTGCCTGTAAAAACGCAATTTTATTTATATTTATTAAACATATGTGAAAAATTTGAAAGTTAAAAATGTTGTCAACCCGTGTAAAATTATATAAACATTGCTGCACATTGCAATCACGATGAGTAATGCCTGGATGAAAAGCGAGGAAAATTTGAAAATAACATATGATTCATATTTGCATTAAAGTAAAAATAGTAAATTTGAGCAAATCCTAAAAAAAAATAATACCATTATGTATAAAATTTATGCCTGAAGTAATTGATATTTTATCAAATATTTACAAAATGTACCTAATGAAAATTATAATACTGGATTAGTGTTTTTTTCTTAACTCTTTGGTGTAAAAGTTTGGCGGTAAAATGCAAATAAATAAAGTTAGTATTATACTGTAGTACCCCGACATACGAGTTTAATTCGTTCCGTAATGCTCGTATGTCGCATCTCTCGTATCTCGAAGCGCATTTTTTATAAAAATACAATGTGTACATAGTACATAAATATGGTGATACATCATGTCATCCTCACAATTTACAATAATTTCACATTTTATTTCGAGTCACATGGCCCTTCCTTTGAACCCATGTTTACAAAAGTGCATAATATTTTGTAAAAGTACAAAAACCAAAAAAAAAACGCGAACTCAACATATATAACCATACAATCACTTGTATAGTTAAATTTTAAATGTTAAAATAAACCTTGATATATTCACCTGGGAAAAATTAGAAATTAAAATTTCTAAATATAAAATGATTTACTATCATAAAACAGACAAAATATTTCAATGGTAAAAAAAAATCATTGCTACATCTGAGAAAATTTTTCATATTTTCATTATGCTGTTAATATTTTTCTAAAAAAACTCTTACTAGCTCGAAGCTCGTATCTCGAAATTTTGTGACGAATCTCTCTTTTGGCGGCTCGTATCTCTAAACACTCTTAAGTCGGGTCACTCGTAAGTCGAGGTACCACTGTATAATAAAATAGCGTAACCATTTAAGATATAATCTTCGTCGTTGGCTTTAAGCTCATGAGTGCTCTAGAGTAGATCTATTACTATTGGCAAATTTTGACGTGATATTCTCAACACAAAAAACTGTTGAAACAAATGATATTATTAGAATGAGCATTCCAATATACCGCTATATTCTTGCAAGTAGTCGGACTGTTGTAAACTATTATAAAACATTTTGAGTCGAGATAAATGTGAACGAACTTTAAATCATATGCAGGAGTTTCGAAGCGTTCTCCTTTGAATGTATTATGCACACTGATTTGTTGTTCGACTGTGTGAAAAATTCATAATGTTGAATTTGATTTATTGACTGCCATTTGCCTTTGCTTGATGTGACAAATTGTATGAAATTACCAAAAAAAGGTAGAGGTGTACGTCTTCATACATCCGGATGAATTGATGAGTTGATGTATAAAATTAAATAACTGTTAAAGGTATCAAAATTTAGCAAAATACATAACTTATCCATAAGCAAATTTTAGTTTTCAGTGAGTTTTGAATTTCTATCTAACCTTGTTTAATGCAAGTCTGCTGGACGACGACTCCCTGTTGACCATTCACCCCAGAATTCCCTCCAGCATTCAAAACCTGCCCCGAACCAGAACTCGTCACCACCCCTGTTATAGGCAGCCCCTGAGGAGAACTTGGTGCCAAAGAATCTACGGAACCAGGATCACTGAACCCTTGGCCAGTGTTCGAATTCTCATCCGGATTATCGAAAAAATCCAAATTGAATTCTGATCCTGCGTCAAAAGATACTTCCGGATTCAAATCAGGAGATTCCGACGATGTCAAAACTGTCTCCCTGTGCAGACTCTCTGGTTCAATTTTGAACACGTCCATTGCCGTCTGTTGGACACTTTTTTGGAGTCCGTTTTGGATTTTGGATAATCATCAGGTGATAGTGGAATTTCTTCATGAAGATTATTGATATTGGTTGATTGGTTAGATGTGTGAGCAGTTCATACAGGAAATTATGTTTGATGGTGTTTTAGTCTTCTATAACTTCACTGTAGGATTTTTACACCATTATTAGATTCTACACTTTTGTAGTATTCAACGAGTCTTTTGGCTTTTAGTTTATAATGATTAGAAATATAATTTATATACTTTTTTCTGGGTATAAGAAAGTTGAAACAATTATAATCAAAGTTAGAATTTATCTTTATTGCGGTTTTTATTCCAAAAGAATTTTTATTATGAACAAATTTAATTTTTATTATTTTATAAAGATAATTAAATTACAAAAATCATAAACATTTACTATCTAAATGCTTTCAAATGAACTAAAAAGTTTATTTTGTTAATGATACTTTTATTACAAAAAAAATATTTTTATTGTCTATTAATTTATATATGAATGAATAATAATAATAGGTGAGTTTCTATTACCGAGTATAATTTAGCTTGTTGAATTTAATATCAAAATGAAGTACAAAAATCACTACAAGTATCACAGCTCGTTTCTTCCCAATAAACAACTTTTAAAATATTTTATTTAATAAAACATTGACAGTTAGTAAATTATAATTTTTTTTTTATTAATTAAATATTGAGAGAGAGCTTTTATAAACCCTTAATACCAGTTCAATAAAACACATTCACAAACCAGTTATATTCCTTCGACAACGTTTACTGCGTCCAAAACCAAAACGTCAAACGAATTTAAATCTTATCTAACTGAAGTATAATAAAACTGTTTAAATAAAATCCTTCGAAGATCATTCGAGAGATTTTTAAATTCAGTTTATCCAAATTTTTCACTTTTCACTCAAGGTTCTAAAAATCCTGCTAGCAAAAACTACTTTTTAATATAACTATAAGTTTGTCCCAGTCCAAATATTTAAAATCTCATAATACAGAGAGATATCACTAATTAACTACAGGCACTTTAATTAATGTTTTTATTTCACATCCTCGCTTCGACAGTTGTCAACAAAATCTTAGAAATTCAAAAGTCTTTCTCAAATTTTCATTAAACTTTTCAACACTTCTCCAGCAGATTTTATCTTTCAATAATTTTCCGGAAAACTTTGATGTAATCGATTTTCCCGCGGCACTTCCTAGTTGAATGGTACGGAACGTTCTTGTAGTGTTTACCTTTCTACAATGTAGAGCCGCGCACGATGGCTGAGTCGATGGACTCTTAACATTCTCTGCAGCGAAAGGTGGGCAAAGAAAGAACGAAACAGACCGAAGTAGGGATGGCAAAAGATTCAATTATTCGTTGTAATTATCGATGTAAATGATTTTTTTCATTATTTAAATTTTATCCTGGAATCTGTTTTTATAAACAATAGGCGCGCACTAATAACAATAAATATTTTACAATATTAACTAAAAAATAGTAGCAACACCCAACGGCGTGTCTACTAGGATGTAATTGAATTTCCTAAGAAATATATATAATTTGCAGATTAATTAATTTAAAGTTTTATTTTCTATTAAATTCAGATTTAATTATTGAAATCTCATACAAAATTTGTGTTTCTTCACCAAGGCTTTTTTTTTTTATTTTTTTTTACTGTACTCTTTTATACATATCATTTTTTTAAATGACGCTCATCTGTTCTTTTCTTTATTTTAGTCTAATTATCTCATTGTTTGTTTGTTACTTATTTCCCTAAAAATATACAAATACAAAAAATAATGTTACTGATATACGATCTAAGTAATATAAAAATTTTTACTATGACTCAAAGCACACCAATACATTTTTTTAACTTTTCGTAGAGTAAGTTATTGTAATCGTCCAAAAATCGAAATTGAAAATTTTTACATTTCTTCACGTTTTGAAGGTTACTGAACATTTTCACATACCTCAGAAAAAATTGAGGTGTGTGTGTGTTAGTGTGTATGTATGTATAGAGAAAAATTTTCGTCCACGTTTTCGAGCGCACGGATCAACCGATTTAAATGGATAAAAAAACATTCGATTTCTATTGATAGGGAGATGTGATGCTTAGTTTTTGGCAAAGGTAGCTCCAGCCGTTTCGGAGATACGGAGCAAAAAGTGCAGAAAATAGAAATCGAGTTTTTGAGAGAACAGAGCATCCGATTTGAATGATCTAAAAAACATTCAATTAGTAATGATTGGGAAAAGTGGTTATTAGTTTTTTGCTAAAGCGGGCCCAGCCATTTTGAAGATACAAAGCTAAATGTACAAAAAATTGCATTTTTTGAGAGAACTAAGCATCCGATTTGAATGATTCAAAAATTATTTCAATTTTTTTTCCAAATTAGACAATGTTATAATATTTATAATAATCTATTTGGAAATATTTAATATTTCTCGAACATTTCGTTACGATACAGGAAGTTCCAGCAATTTGCCTTAAAACACAACTAGTTTTATATATTAAATAGTAAAGTAAGTACTACGATTTTTATAAGCATTCAAACCTATATGATTACACTTTTACATATTTGGATATCTATTTAAAGTTTTAGAATAAAATAAATAAAATTTTCATTATAAAAGAGGATAATTACCTTCACAATTTTATAATTTATCAAATATAAAAGTGTCTTAAGAAAAAAAATCAAATAGTCGACCTGAAAAAATAACCCCTTCAAGAACTCAAGAACTTTTAGATGCTTTATTTATTTATCGTGCACTTAATTTTTTTTTTTTTAATATTTCTTCTGGAGCTTTGGTAACCCTTATAATAATCTTCAAGCTTTTTCAAGAAGAGGACATTGAAAAACTAAAAAAAATTGAAAATGTGATACAGTTCATACATGACTTTTATTCACGCCCTCTTTTTTTACAAAAGTAAGACCATATCCCATCAAGTTATAACTAAAATCAATTATCCACATCGATATTCCGAATACTTTCGATTCGATATAACCTGGACCCATCTCTATTATCACCAGGACAGCGTGCAAGAGAGTACGAATCAGAGAGACAACGAACGTAATGCTGGTTCATGTATGGAAAATTCTTCTGAGCTCGTATTGGTATTTATACACAGATTATTTATGTATTTGTCGGTATTTATTTTATTTATTTGTACAAACAGCCAGTAGCGGTCTTTCTTGCAAATTATATAATATGTAAATACACTTTTCTCAATCGGATTTATTTGTACACATGTGTGAATACCATATATTGGCTTAAGACACAGAAAGATGGGTATAGAAAATATGATGTATCAATTTTGCAATATTTGATGTGTAATATTAGTTTTTATATGTTGCTTTAATGAATTTATCTTTCTGCAGATTCTATTCTCACTTTCGAGCTTAAATATCAGTAACAACATTTCTAATGTAATATTTGTTTCAAATTTTGTCATTTATTTATGTGAATGGATCCGAATTGATCAAAATCATTTGTCTCTATAATTTACAGATATTGGTTGAATCATGCAAATCCTTCCAATTTACATAATATTTTGTAATATGTAACCATCAAGAATTTAAAAAAAATAGTGGTGTGTATGGCATCATGTCTTAAGGCAAATTGCTAGAACTTCCCGTACCGTAACGAAATGTTTTCAAACAGATTATTATAAATTCTGTAATATCGTCTAATATTTATAAGGAAATTATAAACTGAATTACAAAGTTAAAAATATTACTTAAACTTAAACCAGAATTGAAATTGAAATCTGAACTGTTTTCGAAAAAAAAAATGAAAAAAAAAAAATTGAAATGGAATATTTTTTATAAAAGCAATTATTTCGTCAACACAAGTCAAGAAGATTTTTTGAATCATTCAAAAAAATGAAGTAAAATATTTCCTGAACAATTTATCACGATCCTCTACATACATTTTTTGTACACTTTTACTTATTTCTCCTCTAATAAAATTGCAATTAATGAGTTCAGTAATTTCATAGTAAACTGGTTATGAGCAAAACAATATTACACATAATTATACCTACACATGTGCACGTAATTTTGTATAATTTTTAAATTTACTAGTTCAATTATATTCTTTAAAATGCTTGCAATGATATTATAATTTTACTATATTCATTTTAAAATATTAAAATGCAGCTTGTTGTTATGAATGATATAAATTATTCATTATGTAAATATGATTAACACAGATAATTAATTAAATGCAATAGAGAACTTGTAAAAGATTTGTATTATTGTGTATTAGCTTTAATTGATTTTGACAAAACCAAAAAAAAGTTAGAAAAACCTATAGGGAAAAATATCTATAACAAATTGATAATAATTAATGATTTATATTTTAATCGAGATCACAATATTACAAAAAAATTGGAGGTCAAGTCCAAGATTTTTTGAGTTCTCTAATTATTCAGATGTAACAGAACAGATGTAATTTAATGAAAAGCAAGGCTTTTATGTTACAGCAAAAATATATTCATAAAATATAAAAACAAATTTTATCAGTCCTAAGATTTTTGCAAAAATCACGTCGATAAGATAATGATGTGTTAGAGACAGAATAATTATTTTTATTTTAGAAGCTCTATTTCAACAGTATAAAATCCTAATCGTCTTGGTCTTATAACATGAAATACTATTTAAATAATGGATATATTAATTTTTTGTTAATTTTTTTATCGATATATTGAGTGCTCAGAGTACCCCGAAGGTGATTCCAAGACACCTCTGTATCAAAATGTTCATACGTGTGCATTTATTAATGCACATATACAGAGCTACAAAGATTTGCTAGGGCATTTTAAAATAAACATTTTTTTTGTAGAAATTCAATTTGTTTTTTGAACATTTTTGAAAATTCTTGAATTTTTCCCATTCATTACGGTTGCCCCATATTGTCGAAAATACCTGATTTTCAAGCGCCAAATCGCAATTTTTTAACTTTTTTTCTTGACATGCAAAATTGCTGGACCTGT